CATCACTTTGTCTCAAGAATCTCTGGGTTCCGTGCCACCGCGGTGGATGTAATTTGAAATTGAGTGACTTGTTTCCGACAATTGAGATGATCATGAAGCCGAAAGAACTTTGTATGAGCCCCTGTAACAAGTCGTGTTTGAGGTATGAGGTCGTCCGCTGCTGGATGTTCGGGAGTCCGTAATCCACTTTCCACGTGCCGAGCCTTTCCAGCTGTTGCACCAACCAAGCCACATCTGTCTGCGTAAGCCACCGACATGTGCCACCCATGTGTGATGTAAGGTACCTGGTAGGTATGTAGGTACCCAAGTACCTAAGTGAGGTACTCTAGTGTCGACATGGGTAGCTTGGTTCCCTCCCTTCCATTGCATACCTACTCAAACCCAGACCCTAAAAATGGCGGTTGTCGACAATCCATCATGGCAGCATCATGCCATACCTCAGAAAGACCAACGCAGATCAACACATTCCGGTCCGAATTTTGACGTTTCCGAGGGCACATACTACAAGCACGCGGCCTCCAGTTAGCACTGCACGGAGATGTCGCTCGCTCTTCATCTGGGGGTTCGGAGCGCGCTGAAAGCTTCCACCTAGCCAACCGCACAACTTGCTCCGAAACTACAACAACGACCTATCTCGTCGTGTGCTGGAATGGAAGGCATGCTCTCAGAACACCTTTGGAGGATGCCGTCTCACTTCTCTCAATAGCACCTTGCGAGACTGAGCGGCTGCGACCTCAACAGTCTTGGAAAGAAATACTTGTCTTCCCGCTGCGCTCTGCGGAGAACCCCATGTGTTTCCACGAAGATATGCAAAGACGGGATGCTATCGTCAAGCAAGGGATGTGGGAGCCGCTGCATTGGCGTGAGACATCGGCTCAATTGTCAGCGAAATGGGCGCGACAAATCCAGGAGACTCCAAAACTCGTTTGGGCCTTGGTTCTCGTAATGCCATCGCATTGGTAGAATCTCGGTCGAACGGCCAACGATGGCATCTCTTCCATTTACCGATAGCCCGAGACCGTCGTGGACTCGGAAAGTCCTACACAGACGACAACTTGACAACGGCGGATCAACGAGCCGATCCTGACTCATTGGTAGCCTGGCAGGGCTGGCAACTCGATGATGACTGCATAATAGTCGACGAGCTAGCTCGGGGTGGTGTGAGCCTGCAGTACAGCGTTCGACCCAGAACGATCGCAACGCTGTGCGGCCGCGCGCCTGGAGGATCGCAACATTTGCGCAATACTGAAAAGTGCCACGGGCGGGCACTACTAGGCTGAAGGTAAGATGAGAGATAACCGAGACGAAGGGCGCGGCAAGTCGTGTGTGCTGCTATTCTTACCAAGACCTCGCAGTTGCGAGTCTTGTTCTCGGCCCGTCCTCGTAAGGCATGTGCTCTCCCCTAGAAGGGTTTTGCTGGCCGGATGTCAGCTGAACCGGGGATGATCGTCCTTGAATGGGGAAATGAAGTCGGCAGCCTTCGGAGGTGAGCGATGCGGAGGCGGCGCCAATGGCAAGAGGATGGCCAAATAGGAGCCGGCCGCCACCACCACCACTGACAGAGCGCGCTGAGAGGGGATAGTTGGTTTTGGGCTTTATGTCGTCACCAGGCGGCTCGGGCTTTCCCCAGCCAGTCGTTCGCCTTCGATGTGATGGATATGAGGATCTAAGGTTGGCCTTTTCACGATGAACCTTCCCACTGCCTCTGACCTGTACACCAAAGCCCCCCAAACCAACATGGCCGTCCCAAAGAGAACAATGCGGGACTCAAAATGCCAGATCGCCGCAGCTGTAGCACGCCCCAGGTATTGATGGTCCATGGCGCATGGTGAACAGATCTCTCATCTCTGAAGTGCCGGTGCTCCCTCTCCGGATGGCGATCTCGCTTGCCCCTCGCGCGAATACCCAGGGCCATCCTCCGTGGGTGAACCCTGCTACGGCGCCCCAGACTCTTGGATTTTCAGCGCTATGGAGATATCGTGCCTCGCACATCATGTCAGTTCACAGTGGACCCGACTGTGAAGTTACGAACTAAAGGGCCACTTGCGCGGTTCAGTGAAGGGAGATGTGTGTTCGACTCCTAACTCCATACCGACAGAACCCCGATGGCTGTACTGCGTCTCGCTCGTCGTTACTAGGTGTCTTGGCAAGGAAAGGGAGGAAGGATCATGCCCATACTGCGTTGTCGGCAACAAGTCTGATTGTAGCTCACAGCTCGGTGAGACCCCTGGGCTAGAGCCATGTTTGGCATGGGCTTACGTTACCGGGGTTAAGGCTGCATACAGCAGGTCGATTAGCACTTTTTGGTGGTGTCACATCCGCATGTTGCCAGTACCAATGCCATTCGAGGATTTGCTGCCCTCTCCGCCAGGCGCAGCTACAGCCACCAACTACGGCTCCAGGTACGGACTTCAGGCTTGTCCGTGTCAGAGGACGAAGATGAGCTTGACTCATAGTCGTGATACCGACGCAGCCGGAGGCTGTCTTGCCGCTGTCGTTGAGCCGACATTGAGTGCCGAACGAGCTGGGAATCCCAGACACAGGAACAGCTGGCTGAGAAACGTGAACCTTTTCTAGACCTTCGGTCATGGGGCAGTCTTGGCCAGCGGAAATTCACACCAACAATTTCCCGTACCTAGTACCTGGGTGAACGACCCAGCCTTCTAACCGGGCAATCGTAGCGATCGATGTATGGTGCAAGCCTGTACCTGAGCCTGTGTGCCTGAACTCGCGCTGGCGGGGGGCCTTGGGCACGCCATAGTGAGCCGGCCTCTAGGCTAAAAGAGTTCGGAGTGGGATTCCCTCCTGCAACTGGACCTCCGCCTGGAACTGGAACTGGCTGGTTTCTCTCGGCTCGGGTGCCAGCGGCTCCATATCATCCCTCCATCGGATCGTCTTGCTGGCCCTGCCGTGCGTGCTACTGATGCAACCTCTGCCTGGTGTCGTGCCTGGGTACTCTTCCTCCCTCCCGTCATTTGGCCCTCCCCTACGTACCTAAGGTAGGTACATGTAGGCTGTTGGGACTGGGCGGCGGCGCGCTTGGCAGCTGTTGATGCAGGTGAGAGATTGGGGCATTTGGCCTTGGTCCCCCATCCTATCCCTTCCATCGTCCTGCCGTTCGTTCGATTCCGAGTTGAGCTATCACCCGCCCAACCCCTGTCCAGTCCAGGCACGTACGCTGGGGGATATGCAGCATACCTTACCTTACCTTGAATACCTTTTTACCTAGAGGTAGCTAAGGTACCTACCTAGACACGCATTGATCCTGATCTGACAGGGCGCCCATCCTACTTCCAACCTTGCCTCCTTTGCCGTTGCCTCACCACTTCTTTTGGATCTTGTGTATTACGTTCTTGTGATCTGGTCGCAAGAGCACGGCCCATCTTCTTTAGACCTGCGACCCGAGCCTCATTCTTGCCTTGCTGTCGCCTCCCTCTCTCCCTCTCTCGCTGGCTTGCTTTTGATCAATTGTGCCTAGCTCACCGTTTGCCCCGGCCCGTCTTGCTACGAGACCACAAAGGCCGTTTTGGTTCACTCACTCGCTGGCTTGCCCGCTACAGCCCAATCCCTAGGCACAGACCCCGTCGACCAAAGCTCCTCCATCCCGCCTGGCAGATCACGACCGCCAGAATCTCCTGGCCCCAAATCCTCAGCAAGCTGGGCTGTCTGGAAGCTCGTGGCCATCTTACCGAGAACGACCACGTTGGCTGGTTGACTTGTCTACGTTATTCTGGTCGCTCGCATCAATCTCACGACGCTTGGCAGCCACTCGTCGTTCACATCTCGAATCCCTCGTGTCCTCCGATCTTGTCTGTCATCCCATTTCGGTATGCCGCCTGTTTCTCATCCCTCCTCTCCCTTTCTCTGCCCTGCCGACCTTCCGTCCCTCTCCCTCGCCCTCGCCCCTGCTACCAGGTTCGCTTGAGCCAACCTTAATTGCCCGACGAGAACCATTACTTACGAAAGGCCCGTCGCCCGCCGGGCAGTTGCTCCGCCAGGCATACAACATCTCGCACAGGCGGGCGGTCGTTCACAAGCTTCAATTATGATGAATGTCGCATCACGATCTTGAGCATTCCTAACATACAGACCAGTTCACAGTTGACCTAATCATCATTCGACTTTTGCCTGTCCCACCCTCGTTTGTGGAAGAGCGATTGCTACGACCCGCACACCACACAGCTCGATATCCCGTTCAACCTCCAACATTGATCTCCTCCCCGCGGCTACTGTCATGGTTGCGTTGAGGTTGTGCACGACGACATCAAAATTGCTATGAGTGGGGATCACCAGGCTTCCAGGCAAGACCCCACCTCCACCTTCCTGCCTGCCTTGCCTTCACTGCCCTGACCTATCCACTCGACGCGAGAAGAAGTCTTCACGTTGACTTCGCTGCTTGTTCTCGGGTCGAATATTTCCGCTAACCTCCCGCTTCCTACAGCTTTGGAGATCCAAACGCTCAGCCGCCGACCCCTCTACAGACACCCACCTCTGCCGTCTTTCCTAGTCCTGTATTTCAGACGCCCAAGGCCCGACAAGACTCTTTCAACGACTCGAACGGCTGGACGCCTCGCTTTGCCGAGGAATACTCCGTCTTCAACACCACACCGGGCAATCTTCAAGGCCCCTTTGGCGACTTTCACGCCGCCAGCCTCGCCTCCTGCCCCCCTTCGCTCGGACACAAGCGCCAGCTTTCTGCTGGCGGTGTGGCTGCCGAGATAGCGACGCATGTCAACCACTTCTCTGCGAACCCCAACCTCCCGCTCCCACCCGTCGACCCAGCTAGGAGGCTCCCCTCTTCGCCTGGCCTGATCAAGCCGCAGGAGTACTCGGAGCAGCACCAGCCTGTAGCGAGTTCACAAACAACCCAAAAACCGAGATCGACGAAGAAAGCCAAGAAGAAGGCTGGTGTGGAAGAGGTAGAAGGCCAGACCGCCACACCTCCGCCTTCCGCCCACAAGGGAGGGCGGAAGCTCGCTATCAGCCTCAAAAAGGACAACATGCAGAACGATCAGGGCTACGGCCATCCGGATTTCGCCACGACCGGAGCGCCTCAACAGCAGACCATGTCTTTCGCATCAACCTCGGACATGTTCGACTATCCAATGTCCGCACCGGTAGCGCCGAATGCGAGTTTTTGGGATCCTTCGGCGGACATGGCCGGCATGGACTTGGATTTTGCGAGCTTCGGGACCGGCGTGTTCGGAACGCCCATATCCTCGCACAGGCAGCTGGGCTCTTTCGATGCCACCCAAATGTTTTTGGACAACCCTTCGATACTGCAGAACCAGCAGCAACAGCAAGTCCAGCAACAAAATCGACAAGGCCAGGATCACCGTCAACCAATCCGGAAGGACAGGCCGCTGGCTCCCAAGCAGGCCATGCCGAGTCGTGGAACGCTGACCTCTAGTGCTAGCATGCCGTTGCACTCGTACTCAGGGAGCCTTGATGACCCGTTTGGCATCATCAGCCCTAGTGGTGTGGGTGTTGACCCAGGTCTACTCTTCAGCCGACCTCAGTCCTCAGACATGGACGCAAGCTTTGGCGTGAACCAGGCCGAATCCCTCTCGCATTTCTCCATGGCCGATGTCGCTCAGACTCTTTCCACGGCACCCATGCGGCAGGATATGCGTCGATCGGCCAGTACGAGGGAAATACTGCCCAATCGAGGGCCCGACCGTGCTTCAGCGAGTTCGCCCAACAAGATCGCAGGCCGCCCTGGAGGTCTACAAAGGAGCTTCAGCGAGAATCGAGGACGGCGACAATTGCCGGTTTTGGCGCCAGCCATACGCCCGACGCCCGCCCAACCCGCGGCCACCAGCTCGAACAGGCCACCAAGCGTCCGATCCTCGGGAAGGATATCACCATTAAAAAGTCATACTCGTCTATCCAGTCTCACCTCGATCCCCGAAGCAGCACCACCACGAACCAGGACGTCCGTCAAGTTCACCATCGACTCCAAGGGTCGAGCACGTGCAGAAACAACCATGATAGTAGAAGAGTCTGGCGCGGCAGGTCCTGCGCGGAGGAGACCGTCGCACGAGATGCCACGCCGAGAACGAAGTTTCGAATCCGAAGATGAGGACTCCTCAACCGATGACGAGCCAATCATCATCCCGAGCCGCAATGCATCATTTGCCTTGCCTGACCCTCATAAACCCATTGCGTCTGGGTTCAACACGTCGCATCGTAGTGTCAGCGAACGGAATTTGGCTAGCTTTACGAGGCTGAGCAGCGACGCTTTCGGCCAGGATCCAGAGAGTGACGCAGAGACCGTGATGAACGACTCACAACGCGGTGGACGAACGGCGGACACGAGCGGTGACGCGGCAAGCGAGCTGCGGCGCGTAGTCGAGAGCCGACAGAAGCTGGGCATTCAGATGCCCGGCAGCGCGCAGCGGTCTCACCGATTCAGCACGGGGAGCTTCCCAGCGCACACCGGATCACCGTCAAAGGGATTAGAGCGAGGTTTCCCCACGCCATCGACGGACGTCGGGAGCCGTGCTGTTCGATGCGTCTGCAACCGAAACGGCGATGGAGAGGGATTCATGGTTCAGTGGTAAGTTTTGATTCCAGAGAAGGTCGCAGTCTCCTTTACTCATCTCCCGTGCAGTGAGTCCTGTGAGATGTGGCTCCACGGGCTGTGCATCAACATTGCCTCACGACGAATGCTGCCCAGCGTGTACATTTGTGCCTTCTGTGCGAACACGCCGAACATGAGGGGCGGGCGAATGCGAGACTCTAATAGAGGCTCGGGGCTAGCGACGGTCGGCGCATCGCCGCTGGCACACAAGTCCTTCAAGTCGTTCCGGTAACCAGGCGGTCCATTGGAGTAACTGAAGTACCAGCTCCTCCAGTGAGCTCCAGTAACAAGTCGGACGCAGGGGCGTAGCGCGACGACGCACCAGATGGCATCACGAGTACATACGAAAACCCAGGTAGCATCCGGGGCACGATCTACCGGGGATCTTAAGAATACATATATGAACATAGCAAAAAATAGAATATTCCTCGTCTAAGTTCGGCTGTTTTGCAATTGTCGTCCAGCCGAGGTGCCGCATGCTGTTTGTGGCATGTCTCTGAACGCTGAATACTGAGACGGAGGATAGGGGTATGGCTGAGTCAGCGGGTCCCTGGCGGGTTGGATCGGGGCGCAAGCTCTCCGATGTCGGGATGCGGGGTAGCTGGAACCCGAACTCTTTGCGTGACGCGGGGCAGGTATTGGGCAGAGCAATTCGTTCTTGCTCTTTTGCTTCAACAAGAATCTCGTCTTCCTCTTTCTCTCTACAACTACATCTCCCGTACGACTTGAAACGAATAGCCATTTCTTGAATACCCCATTTGGAGCAGTGTCCATTGCGATTACTCTACGTGACCCTCCTCTCTCCGACGAACCCGTACATATTTTCCATCACTGACACAGCTTCGATATGGCGACCACCCACGACATTGTAGTGTTTGGAGGCGACCACTGCGGTCCCGAGGTTGTTGCCGAGGGCATCAAGGTAGGGATAGTTCTCCATGAACTCAAGTTTACGATTGAGTACTTGGTTGACTGACATGTTTGTACCAGGTCCTGAAGGCAGTTGAGGCGAACAGCTCTGGAGTCAAGTTCAACCTCCAAGAACACCTCCTCGGCGGCGTGAGTTCTTCCCCAAGATTACAACCCATACGCACTGTTTCTGACAGAAAAAAAAAATGACAGGCCTCCATTGACGCTACCGGCTCCCCCCTTACCGACGAGGCCCTCGCGGCCGCCAACGCAGCTTCGGCCGTGCTCCTCGGCGCCATCGGCGGCCCCAAATGGGGCACCGGCGCCGTCCGCCCGGAACAGGGCCTCCTCCGCCTCCGCAAAGAGATGGGTGCCTACGGCAATCTGCGCCCTTGCAACTTCGCCTCCGACGCCCTCGTCAACTTCTCCCCGCTCAAGGCTGAGGTCTGCCGCGGCACCGACTTTGTCGTGGTTCGTGAGCTGACCGGTGGCATTTACTTCGGCGACCGCATCGAGGACAACGGCGATGGCAAGGCCATGGACACGGAACCCTACAGCCGGCCAGAGATTGAGCGTGTGGCGCGTCTTGCGGGTTTCCTCGCCATTGCGCGTGGCGACAAGACGGTGTGGAGTCTTGACAAGGCCAACGTGCTGGCGACGAGCCGGCTGTGGAGAAAGGTCACGACCGAGGTGTTTGAGAAGGAGTTCCCCCAGCTCGAGATCAAGCACCAGCTCATCGATTCGGCGGCCATGATGATGATCAAGAGCCCGCGCGCGCTCAACGGCGTCGTCTTCACGAGCAACCTCTTCGGTGACATCATCTCCGACGAGGCGAGTGTCATCCCCGGCAGCATTGGTCTCCTGCCCAGCGCGAGTCTCAGCGGTATTCCCGACGGCAAGGGTCGGTGCAACGGCATCTACGAGCCCATCCACGGTAGGTCTTCTCCCGCTGCAGCATGCGTCACATGCTCTGGTGCTGACAACTTCCAGGCTCCGCGCCAGACATCTCCGGCCAGGGCATCGTCAACCCCATCGGCACCATCCTCTCCATCGCCATGATGCTCCGCTACTCCCTCAACCTGCCCAAGGAGGCCCAGGCGGTCGAGGACGCCGTTAAGAACGTGCTCGACGGCGGTCTTCGCACCAAGGACATTGGCGGCAGCGCCGGCACCGTCGAGGTCGGCGACGCCATCGCGAAGGAGGTTGTCAAGATCCTGTCGAGCTAGAGGGAGCGGGATGCGGTCGATCTCGCGAGGGAGAGAGCAAAGAGGCTGGCGATGAGGCGTCAGTAGGTTGTGACAGATCATCTCTTGGACTCCTTTTACGGCCATCTCGCGGCCGCCGGGCCGCCGGGACCCAGGCTTGAAGTCGTCAAGAGATACCCGAGGTCGCCCCCGCCTGGTCAGGA